CCAAGGTCTAATATGAAACCATGCAATTGTACACAATCTTTAGGAATCCTATCCCATGTATGACTTATATAGTTGTTTGGATTTATGTGTAACGTTTTGTGTCATAATGACATTATTCACTAGATCGATGAGCAATATGAAATGAATATCCATTTTATATAGAAAGGAAAGCATGTTAGGTTATCCTCAAAAAGTTATTTGATGATCTATTTTCAGTCGTATTGTTCAGGTCTGGATCCAACAGTGAAAATAATTTTAGACTCTGGATTTAATCTCTTTATAGAGGCTTTAGGCTTACAGAAGCTTTAGAGATATGTTTTTTTTTCCACCTGGGTGCCTACCAACGTGTGGATTTCCAAACCTACAGTTGCTTCAGGTGACATAGCCCTTGCTAAAAAATTTAGTAGTTGAGGTTCACATATCTGGATTTTGTTATGTTTGTGAAACAATGGTATCTCTGCTTATTCTGCAGTTTTAAGGCATTTGATTTCTATATCAGAAATGTAGCCCCAGGATACTACTTCCTGAACTGGGTTCTGAGGAAATGGAATTTCTAAGAAATAATTTTAAAAATTATCAGGAAGGATTATCAGGATTATTCAACAATAAAGTCAGATTGCTCATTTATGTGTAACAAGTGGTTTCAGGACTCCTGAAGACAACATTAACGGGGGTTATCGGCGACATTCTGATGGTCTTAGTATACAGGAATAGCTTGATAAGAAGTTCATATAGAAGATAATTCCTTGAATTTTTTCAAAAATAAGTTTTATAGACAATGCTTTTTAATAAGGTAGATTACCCTTCTCTAGTTTGGCATTTTCTGAATGGTTAAGACTAGATCTCTCACCATTTCTAGCTACCATGGAAACTGAACGAATGAATGAATTTTTTATTGGCCAAGTCTGATTAGACACATAAGGAATTTGTCTTGGTGCATATGCCCTCAGTGTACATAAAAAGAAAAGATACATTCATGAAGAATCATAGGGTGCAACACTTAATATAGACATAGAGTATAAATAGGCAATCAAATCATACTAGGAAACAGTCAATATAAATCATAAGGATACAAGCGACAAAGTTACAGTCATACAGTCACAAGTGGGAGGGGATAGGAGTGATGAGCAGATTAATAGTGATAGTAATGCAGACTTAGTAAATAGTTGGACAGTATTGTGGGAATTATTTGTTTAGCAGAGTATACAATCTGGCCAGAAACTGCATCAAAATGTTGCCTGAATGGGTATATCAGGCTCATTCTTTTGGTAAGAATTCTGAAATCTTTCCATGTGTGGAAATGAACCTACAGGGGGAAAAACTTAGTTCTCCTTCTCCCATAATTGTCTTGTTTTTATCTCTTGGATAGATTTACCACCTCCCCTGGAGAAAAAGCATTTCAGGTGAAGATCACAGCACCCGAGGAGCAATTTACACGAGTGGGAGTGCAAATATTGGACAGGAAAGATGGCTCCTTCATTGTGCGATACAGAATGTATGCAAGCTATAAAAACTTGAGAATTGAGGTTTGGGCAAAAAGCAAACAGGTTGCTGAATCTCCATATATTTTAAAAGGTACAGAAATGATGCTATAATGGTGCTTGAAACCAGATTATTTTTAAAAATGTAACCTTCAGTGCAAGGATGTACAAACCTCCTGCAGTTTAGTTTGTCTTGTTTAAAATCAATATTTTCTTTTAATTTTTCTTAAACCCCTACAATTTCTATTCCAAGAGAGGATGAGAGTGAATCTACAACTTGAGAGGTGCTGAAAATGCAGAAATGTTAATTTTTTTTATGAATGAACAAAGGAAAGAGCAGAAAGGAATACGGGGAGTCCTCAACTTAGTACCAGTTACTTAGTGACTGTTTGAAATTACAGTGGATTCCCCCCAAAAAAGGTTCTTATGAGCTTTTTTAAAATCTCCTTGCTGCAGTTACATGATCACATTTCAGGTGATCGGTAATTAGTCTACATTTATGGCTGTTTTGCAGTCATATTAATGGTGAAATGCTACCGGTTTGGCCCGGTATTACCGAACCGGTAGTAAAAGAAAGCTCAAACAATCAGCTGAGAGGAGAAAGAAAAGCGCAGGATCGACCCTCCCACCTGTCCCTGCGCTTTTCTGTTCTTTATCCTCTCAGCTGATTGGTGTGGCAAGGCCTAGAAAGCTGTGTGCGTGTTAGGTGTGCGTGAAGTGAGTGATCACTGAACCGGTAGAGAAACTGGTAGAATTCCATCACTGGGTCATGTGACCATGATTTATTATGTTTCTGCCAATACCAGCATTTACTGCGGAATGGGACAACTCATTGTGGCCAACCCAATGCGGGACAACTCGCCGTGGCCAATTTTTCATGGGACAATTTTTGGGACAACAATTCAATTATTTAAAATAATTTAACTTTTGTTATTCATATTTCATTTTGTGCCTCCTTTGGCATCCTTTCCTTAATGATTCTATTCCGCTATTTCTTCAACATTAGTGCAACTGTCGTTCCTGAGGTGAATTGGACCTGGTGAGTTGTCCTGTGACGAGTTTGGTCATGGCGAGTCTTACCACAATGTATTTCAACCTATTAATAAAAAATACTGCCCCAAATCTTGCAAGATAGCCAAATCTTGGACATTTTGGAATTTCTGTATGAAGTGTTGTGCGCTTAGGGCAAGAATCCCAAAATCTTGTTAGATTTGGTAATCTCCTGAGTATTTGGCCACTTATTATTTTAGTGCCTCTCCCAAGGATGACTTGTTCTGCTGCATTGGACAATAAGTTTGGAACTTTTTGCAGTACTGTACCCTGTGAATGTGAAAAATCTAGCCGTGTAATTGAAATAAAGTGAATAAAATAATGGCAATATAAGATGTAGTAATGCCTGAGATCATTGGCAGGAGTGTTGGCAAAATTCCTAGTTCTCTTTATCTTTTTTTACATTTCTGTTTTTCATTATTTTCATGAGCTATAACAAGTTATATTTTAAGGCACCTGGTAAGATGTTGAGCAATCATTGCTTGCATGTGCCACTGTCTGGATAGAGTTTATTTTTTCGTTTCAGGACAAAAAAAATCTAAATTAATTTGGATGGAGATTACTTTGGAACTGTTAATGTATTTCATGCTAAAAGTTTCGCAGCCAAGGAAAAAATGTTGAAACTTGGACAATGGTAATGCTTAAGATTAAGTACAGGTAGTCCTCGACTTAAGGAACGCAGTAGCTCAGTGGCTAAGACGCTAAGCTTGTTGATCAGAAAGGTCAGCAGTTCGGCGGTTCGAATACCTATCACTGCGTTAACGGAGTGAGCTCCTGTTACTTGTCCCAGCTTCTGCCAACCTAGCAGTTTGAAAGCATGTAAAAATGCAAGTAGAAAAATAGGGACCACTTTGGTGGGAAGGTAACAGGGTTCTGTGCACTTTTGGCATTTAGTCATGCTGGCCACATGACCACGGAGACGTCTTCAGACTGCGCTGGCTCTTCAGCTTTGTAACTGAGATGAGCACCGCCCCCTAGAAACGACTAGCATGTATGTGCGAGGGGACCTTTACCTTTACCTTAGTCCTTGACTTATGACCACAATTGAGCCCAAAATTTCAGTTGTTAAGTGAGACATTTGTTAAGTAAATTTTGCCCCATTTTACATCTTTTCTTGCTGCAGTTATTAAGTGAATCTGGCTTCCCCATTGACTTTGCTTGTCAGAAAGTCGCAAAAAGGGGATCATGTGACTTTGGGACAGAGCAATAATCATAAATATGAACCGGTTGCTAAGCAACTGATATTTTGATTCATAGGATCATGGGGATGCTGCAAAGGTGGTAACTGTGAAAAACAGTCGTAAGTCACATTTTTCAATGCCGTGGTAATTGTGAGCTGTCACTAAGTGGACTGTTGTAAGTCAAGGACTACCTGTAGATTGAGCCCAGATGTGGGAGGCCAAATGAAAACACAGCCGGGGTCCTTTGCTTGAACTGTTATGTAACACACAGTTGTTTTGCTCAATCACAGAAGCCCCACATCCATTCAGAAAGGAGAATCTGACAAAATGCATGATGTAACTTTAAAGTAACTGTTTACCATGAAAACTGTGACTGCCCTCAGGACCTGTTTACCATGAAAACTGTGACTGCCCTCAGGAAGATGGGAGAGTTTGGCTGGAGGTGATGAGCTGTCCTCAAGCAATTGAGCAGATTCAGAGAGATTTGGCACATTTTCCCACCATCGATCCAGATAAAATTGCCAAAGAAATCCCACAACGGTTTGGGCAGAGGCAAAGCTTGTGCCATTATACCATAAAAGACAACAAGGTACACCCTGTGCTATAGTACCACAAATGACAATGGCTGTCCTGCAAGTAAATGTCTTAAAAGAAGAAGCCCAAAGAATGAGGGAAAGTAGTTTCTCTGGATTCAAGGAAGCTGGGAGATGAACAGGATGCAAAAGTCAATTGCCTCTGTACATAGAGCCTTTGTACTTAAATAGTTTCTCCTATACCTCTCTACCATCGGTTTCTGCAGTGCTTAGTCATTTGATATAACAGCCATTGCTACAGTTTGCGATAATGAATACTAAGCAATTATGGAGTGCATTATTGGCCATGAACTGAAGAACCTTTCTAAGTTAAAGGCATTATACAGTAGAACCTCGGGTTACTAACGCTTCTGACCACAACCAAATCGGGTGACGACCAAAAAAAAATCTGCTAAATGTTTCACTCTGGTCGCGAATACATCCTCGGGTGGCGATCAAACCAGAGGTGGTATTCAGCAGGTTCTGTCCAGTTCTGGAGAACCGGTAGCGGAAATTTTGAGTAATTTGGAGAACCGGTAGTGGAAATTTTAAGTAGTTCAGAATACCACCTCTGACTGTCCCCCGCCCCCATCTATTCCCTGCCTCCCAAGTCCCAGCTGATCGGCTGGGTCTTCTTTTGTTGCCCTGCACAGGAGAACGGAGCTGGGAAGCAGGTTAGTGAGGTGGGGAGGGAATGGGGATTTTATAGTATCCTTCCACTGCCACACCCACCAAGCCAAGCCATGCCCACCAAGCCACTCCCATAGAACCGGTAGTAAAAAAAATTGAATCCTACCACTGGATCAAACACAGCCGCGGTGATTTTCCCTGCCACGGCAATTTCCCCTGCCATGCCATTTTTTTGGATATGCGCATACACAGTCAGTCTTGCTTCCTGTCATGTCCAAATCGGGTTGCGACCGAAGTCCTGGAATGGATTAACGGTTGTGACCGGAGGTTCCGCTGTAATAGGAATAATAGAAGTTACTTCAACGTCCGGGGGATATGGAACCAGTTTCATTTCTTGCTGACTGGATCCTTTCTAATCCAGTGGAGTAGCATGATAATTTCTATCACCTCAGCCAGCATAGTTATTCTGGCTGAGGGTGATAAGAACTATGCTCCATGCCTATTGTAAAAAGTATCAATTTGGTAAGGATAAACCATAATTCTAACGAGTTTCACGATCCAAAGTTACAGAAAGTGAACTCTACATGTTTTTTTTTGTTTTGGGGGAGTAAGAGAATGGAAATGAGCCTACTATTGTTTTGGAAAGGAAAAGAAAATATCCCTAATTTGTGATTCTTGAATTACTTTAGATTTATATAAAGACCCATGGTGAACATGTTGGATTCAGAATTTTCATGGATGCTATTTTACTTTCTTTGACAAGAAAAGTGAGTATTTCCTTTAACTATGTTATAAATCATTTTATTTTTAGCATTCTTCAATTTATATTGAATCAATATATCTTCTGCCATATCCAGAGTTCACTAAGAGTATGAATAGTGAAGATTTTAAAAAAAATATGAATGGAAGGATGGGGAAAGCTCTAATGCTTTGCGTGTGAACAGCTTCTTGAGTTGTTTTCCCCTTTTAAGATTTTCAGCCATGGAATCCTTCCCAAGGTCTCTTTAAGCTTGTTGAAATTAGTTCTTTTAAAGTCTAAGACACTGGTTTGATTATGTTATATTGCTTGTGTCTGCATTTTATTGAACATGGTCACTCTCCCCAAAGTTCCTGCAGCATCAATCCCCTTTATCATTTCTTCTATTAGTAAGAATTAGTTCCAGGGTAGTTGTTCTTCTACTCCTGCCTCTACCTTTAGGATGACAAAGTTGTCAGCTGGTTTAGTCAGGAACCTGTTCGATCTCACTTGATACATATTTTGTTCCCCAGTTGATATACATTTGTTAACCGATTAGCAAAAAGTTCATCTATATTTTTTTGCTTGGTTGGGTGGCCTGTATTATACGCTTGAAGTAATGCCATTCTTTTTTCTTTTTATATTGACCCATATGCATTCAAGGAGGTTTTCATGCTTGGTTTTATTCAGCTCTGTAGAGATGCAATGATCTCTTACATATAATGCAAGTCCACCTCCTCTTTTTTTTTTGGTTAGGTCTGTGTCTAATTTCCTTCTGTGGAAGGAAAAGCTACTGATTTATTTTTCTAGTTAGACACATAGATGCTCTCTGGTGTATTGGATGCTTTTTTCAGCATACTGGATAATGCATCAGTGGGAATGGGGCTCCAAAAATCTCTATGTTGTATACAGAATATTGAATCCCACCTGTATAAATGATCTAGCCAAGTCTCCATAAAGGGTTTGTCATAAGTATTTCAGGAATAAAAATCCAGCTGGCTCAGCCAAAGTTGTTCATGTTTTTAAATAAAACAAAAATCCTCAAAGGACGCAGAATGAGTAATAGCAGCATGAGGAATCTATGGCCTCCCAGATGTTACTAGATCAAAACTCCCAATCTTCCTCTTCCTTAGCCATGTTGACTGCTGGGAGTTGTAGTTTAATCTCACCTAAAGTGCCATGGCTCCCATCTAGGTCAAGAAAAGAGTATTTTTACTACCTGCATCAAAATGAGAAATGCAGAGGTATGGTTATTTATGGCAGGGGTTTCCAAACTTGACAGTTTTAAGACTTGTGGACTTCAACTCCCAGGATTCCTCCTCCAGTCATGTTAGCTCAGGAATTCTGGGAGTTGAAGTTGAAGTCCACAAGTTTTAAAACTCGTCAAGTTTAAATACCCTTGATTTATGGCATACATCTGCAGGGATGATAGAATTTCCAACCAAATACTTGTCATACACTTGCAGAATTATCCTTCCTGTTTCCCAAGTCCTCAAAGTCCACTTTAAAGTTGCCTAAATAGTCCCCCCAAAGCCCAGCCATACCTCCATGACTGAATGGTTGACAAAAATAATAATAATATCTGGGCTGCTTTGATAATCTTCAGGTGTATTATAGCAGCAGGACACTATGAAAGTGGGCATATTTAAATGGTAGAAAATAACCACTTGCCAATTAGTTCTGCTGTCTCAGCCCACTCCTCAGTTCTGAAAAATATATCCTTTCTCTTGTTATCAAAGGAATAATTTTGGTAGCTGTTTGTGGGCCTGCCACATTGAGATATCTATTGTTATCCAGATGATCAATGTCGACTCAATGGCAATAAGTTCTATGCTTCTTTATCTAATTAAGGCAGCATGCTGGAAATACAAGGTGTGTGTGTGTGTGTGTGTGTGTACTCATTCCCTTTCAGTGGACATATATTGAAGTAAAACATGACATTGTTTTAGTGGTTTGGAGGTTTTCCTTTGTCTCCTCTGGAAGGAAGTGAGAATTTTTGGAAGTTTGCACAATGGCAGTTCGCATAATGTTCTCAAAATTGAAGCTACGCATAGTAGAGCTGTTAGAATTGTCAGACTGCCAACAACGACACCCAGGTTCAAACCTTACTTGGCCAAAAATCTCGCTCGTTGATTTTGGGGTTGCTTTCTACCAAAACTATTCTCATTGTTATTAAAAAGATAAGCCTTGGGTCAAGACTGAAGCTCTGGCTGCTAAACCTAATAAAAAGATGGGATGCAATTTTAATTATTAAGTGAATCCTTTAAAATTTATAAAAGTAATGAAGTAAGAAAGAAATACTTTCTTCTTTTCCTCACATCCCTTCCATACATGAGTATTTGACCCTCTTCATAACAGTTAGGTATGGATTAGGATACATGGGTGTGTTTCTGAGTTTCTTCACAGAGATTGAATAGGAGTTTTGGGTCCTAAATTGCTCGACCTCTCTCTTGTTCATTCCTAGTGCATTAGTTCCAGTCTGGATCAGACCTCCTTCAACCACAACATACAGAGAGATTGTAACAGATTGGATTTCCATGTTTGAATCTCTTGATACTCAGACATTCATAAAATTCAAATGACTTATCTGTTTAGCTATTCCTTCAGGGGGAAAAATCAGTTCTCTTATGTGGCCCATATTATAGAACAGTGATGTTCTTTTCCTTTTCCTCGCCACGTGCCTCCACCCATAATGCAATGTGTGCATGACCCCCCCCCTGTGCCCCCTGCGCATGCTCGCGTGACCCCCTGTGTGTGCACCACATGCCTCTGTGCATGCACACGTGACCCCCCGCACCGTGCCCCTCTGTGCATGCGTGCGTGCCCCCCCATGCCACCTGCCCCCTGCGCATGTGCACATGTCTCCCCCTGCGCATGTGCAGCAGATACCTGACAATCAGCTGTCTGGTGGGGGGGCACACACATGTGCAGTGCAGCTGTTCTGGGTGACCTCTCGCATGCCGGCAGAAATGGCTCTGCATGCCACTTCTGGCACCCGTCCCACAGGTTTGCCATCACAGTTATAGAAGTAGTGTACATGAGCTTTCCTCATCAGATGTTTTGATTTTTTTTTAACTGTCATCTAACACAGGGGTCCCCAACCACCGGCCCGTGGACCAGCACTGGTCTGTGACTTGCCAGAAACTGGTCCACGGAAACAAATGAAGCCCCATCTGCAGGATGCATGCTGCAGCACACGAAACCACGCCCCCCTCCGGTCCACGGAAAAATCTTTCTCCAGAGAACCGGTCCTTGGTGCCCAAAAGATTGGGGGCCATTGATTCTAATAGCTTATATTACTATTAAGCCTATGAAAGGCGTAATGCACTTCTTTTAATTTTTGCTTTAAGCAAATCAAAAGATGAAAAAAGGAACAAAAAATCAATCAATCTCACTTCATAAACATATAAGCTAACTCTGCTGTAGGTAAATATTGGCTGGCATGTTGGATTACTGATCTTCTTATTTTCTATCTGGTAAGAGCAGACCAAATTTATTTCTGCTCATTGCAAAAATTCTGTATATTCTGGTAATGCTAGACTGTGTACACAGTTCATACTGGGCTGTGACCAGGGGTTTTGAATCTCATCATTGAAAGAATAATACAGGACTTGTAGAAAATCTCAAAATACCACTCTGAATATTTTCAAAGTAACAGACTAGTTAGTAATAGAGCCAAGCTACTACTACACATAGAAAGAGAGAAAAGTTCCCTTGGGATGGGCTCCAGCACGACTCCAAAAACTTGTGCCCTGTTTGGACAGGAGTCAACTTTAAAGGACTTTACAAATGTGAAGTGAAGTATTGCACTTGACTTTCGGGAACTTATTTAAAAACCTTTGAAAGGTTGATGCGTAGTTGCTGAAAACTATAGAGTGGAACTGTTAGGTATAACATTGATACCAAATATGGTTTGGGTGAATAAATATATAAAACTTAGATATCATGGTTTAAGTGCTTATCACTTTAAGCACAATGCAGCAGGCAATTAGCCGATTAAGGGTGCGGTTAGAAGTTACAATATAAGGAAGCATTAGAAGCTGGAAAGCTTACTGGCTGTTACTGTCTGTCTGTAACTGGCTGTAACTGTTTACTGTGTGTTACTGGCTGTAACTGTGTGCTGCTGCGACTAACTGTGATTACTGACTGTGAGTGCCTGTGACTGAACAGTTATTGTTTGCTACTGTTTGCTGATTACTGCGTAATTCTACTGAATATCCAGCGTTTGTTTCTCTGGAGAGTGAAATCGGAGGAGGAGAAGATATCTTTATCGGCTGATAAAGATATTGCAAGGACTCTTAACTTGGACTATACTAGTGAGTCTTACTGGATGGAAATACTGTGAATGACTTAATGGACTGAATGACAATGCTTAAACTCTAACTGGATTAAAAACTATTTAAACTACAAACAGTGTTTTGTGTTCAGTGTGTGTATACTCTGGGGCCCTTCCGCTCTCCTTTGGTTGCCTGGCTTGACTACTGCTGCAATACTCTGCTAGGGGTTAATCCTCAAACCCTAACAGGAACTATAGACCGCTAGATGGCATTGTACTCATAAATTGTTTGGCTTTGAAATTAAAAAATTCTCTTGTTCGTTAAAGAGATAGTAAATAATGCCTTAATATTTTATAATTATTTTTTTTGAAAAAAACAGTTGAGCAAATGCAGATTTGACAAATGCATTGATTTAAGAAAGTAACTATTTTCATTCAGTTATAAAGTTGAGAATAATAATACTAGCCTACATTGCAGTATTCTAAGCAATCCAATTGAAGAGAAATATATAGCTCAAAGTTGAACATATAAGCCAACTCTGCTGTAAGTAAATATTGGCTGGCATGTTGGATTACTGAACTTCTTATTTTCTATCTGGTAAGAGCAGACCAAATTTATTTCTGCTCATTGCAAAAAATATGAACACATATTTGCACAAATGACGTAATGAAATGTCTGCAAGCAAACAACCAAATTCAGGGAGCACCCAAGATTCCACTATTCTAAGTGTAATTTACACACAGCATTTAAATAAATACCGTGTAGCAGTGGTGGGATTCACATTTTTTTACTACCGGTTCTGTGGGCGTGGTTTGGTGGGCGTGGCAGGGGAAGGATAGTGTAAAATCTCCAGTCAGAGGTGGTATTGGCGGGTTCTCTGAACTACTCATAATTTCCGCTACCGGTTCTCCAGAACTGGTCAGAATCTGCTGAATACCGCCTCTGCCATGTACTGATTACTGCTGTATAATGCAAAATTTTGATGTTTTTTGGCAAATGAATAAAAATATATGCCAGAAAATTATAGAAGGTAAATGAAGCTCAGTAATTCCAACACTACATAATATATATTTGCTAATCATCTTCTACAAGAAACGTATCTGCCATTTAATGTTCCAGTTATGCTCTCTTAAATGTTCAATGGCTAGAATCCACTTCAGAAATTAAGCATATAGGAAAAGTTGGCTGCTCAGAGTCACTTTATAAGGGAGATGGGCAGCATAAAATTTAATAAATAAATAAAATAAAAAGTTATTTGAGGAACTGGTAACTTCCAAGAATTTTTTGATTGCCATTGGGAGAAATTGAATAAGCAAACAAGTAAATAAAAACGAATATTAAAATACAAATCAAGTCTTTTTTTATTGGTTTAGGTGAAAATGCCAGATGTAGAGTTTTTTGTGAATTTGGGAGATTGGCCATTGGAAAAAAAGAAATCTTCTCAGGATGTCCAACCCATATTCTCCTGGTGTGGATCCAGTGATTCCAAAGATATTGTAATGCCAACTTACGACCTGACAGATTCTGTGTTAGAAACAATGGGGCGGTAAGAATGTCTGCATTGTTTAAAGAAAATGTTAGCTGAGCATGATTGGTTTCCATTGTAATCTATGTCTACAGAGTTTATTTCACGCATTTAAATTATTCTATTATTAAGTCTCTCCTTGAGGTGTCATCCAGTCTGTGGCATTTCTTCTTTAGTCCAGAGTTCTCCAACTTTTTTGGCTTTACATATCAACGGGGGGAGGGAGAGAGGGGATGGTCCTGGGGGGGGGGCACGCAGGGCAGGTAAGCACACATGTACGTGATCTACTCGTGCGAGTGGTGATGCCCTTGCGCATGTGGTACTGGGGCAAGTGGGTATGTGCATGCGCAATCGCCCACCGCTTCTGTGGCCCGGTTCCGAAAGGTTCAAGGCCCCATAGTGGGCTGCAGCCCGGGGTTTGGGGACCCCTGCTTTAATCCTATCAGTAAGAAGCATCTAAGGATGGAAAAGAGAAAAGCTGTTAATGGGCAAAACCTTCCTCCTGGGTGTAAGACCTTCCTGAAACTTATGCACAGAACTCCCTCTCTTATGAACATTTTGCCATTTTTCCCCCCCTAAGAGTCAGCCTGGATATGATGTCTGTTCAAGCAAATACTGGGCCGCCATGGGAAGAGAAAAACACCACAGCAATCTGGAGGGGTCGTGACAGTCGAAAAGAGAGGCTTGAACTTGTGAAAATGAGCCGAAAGTTCCCAGAAATCATCGATGCGGCCTTTACCAATTTCTTCTTTTTCAAGCATGATGAAAGCCTCTACGGCCCAATTGTGAAACATATTTCCTTTTTTGATTTCTTCAAGGTGCATCTATCTATCTATCTATCTATCTATCTATCTATCTATCTATCTATCTATCTA